ATAAATGTCCAACAACTTCAACGCTTTAAGCAACAGCACAGCAGATAAATCTCAGCCCATTAACCAAAAGCCACACACTTGTTCCAAAGTGAAGTGGATCAGATGAAATTCCTGCAGGTAACTTCTGGCTACAGATAATTAAGCAAAGCCTTTCTGATATATGAAATTGCTTTCAACATCGTGGAAAAGTGTTTATTCTGCATAAGTCAAGCAACATTTACTCCTATAGTCTCCTACTGCTATTCGTAAGTGCTTCATCAAAAGCTTAGACTCCATCATTCATCTGTATTATGTGCTCTTCAGCTACACAAAGTGAAATAATTCTTTACTAACCATCTTACAAGATGCAATCATTCTGAAGACGCTTCTGCATGGATATACCCAGTTTTCTGTTGCTTAGAACATTTTATCTTCACAGGCAGAGCACGTAACTGATGTGGAACCTAATCCACTTGGTAATGGATTAAACATTGATTATTGTCCTTTCATATCTTTAGCTACAGAACAACACTTTTACTGCAGACTTCAAAGGAACTCACATATCTTCATTTACTAACTTCTACTATTACCAGGAAGAGAATGTTGTCCATTCTTTCACCAGCCTCTCAAAATATCACAGCTCTCAATACAATACCCATTACACGGTAAACTCTAGCTCAGAAATCTTGCAACTGCATGAATACCCCTGTTTACAACAGTAGTAACACAAAAAAGCCATGCTATGTACGGGACCTGGTAAGTAACTACTGTAATATGCAGAGCAATAAGATAAATCTGATCCTCAGCCACTGGGTCGCTGCCTCCTCTGACTCAACTGTGTATTCCTGCAGGTTTTGCCCATGTTTGGCTTCAGTCTACTTGTTTTCCACTTGGAAAGAACACAACCACAAATACCTTTTCATGCTTTGCACTGCACTTAGCTGGGCTGTAGATTGTAAACAAACAAGATAAATATCTGAGAACTTTCCTTACTGAATTTCCATGGGAAGAAACCAGGAAAAAGACGTAAACCAAATCCCAACCCTGCGTACTTATGAATGCACCACAGAAAATCTGGCATGCATGCCCTCACACCCTGCCTCTTCTGCAACATATTCTGCAACATAAAGCCAACATTTAGCCTAGCAAACTAGATGGTTCTTATTTGTGGTGTAGAGGTAATCTGAGGCAAGCTCTCTCTCTAAAAGACTTTTTCTACCAATGAAGATGTTAAGTGATTAATTTTTGTTGCAGGGAGACTTTATCAAATTAATCTTCCACTCTTCCCCTGCTGACACTTGCGGAGGGGTCAAAATTCACTCTATGAAGTCTTGCATTGAAAAGTTGAAAGAAAAAAAGCCACCCTCAACAACTTACAGATGGCACAAGTGCATAATTCACACAGTGATCCTCACTGATCCTCCCTGAACATCATGTGGGTGCTGTACAGGGATGCATAGGGCCAGGGTGCTCATCTCACTTGCTTTGTTGGACAGACCATCTCTTGAAATGGTCCAGAGGATCCCAGACTGATTTGTGTTGGAAGGGACCTTAAAGTTCATCCAGTTCCAAGCCCCTGTCAGGGGCAGGGACCCCTTCCACTACAGCAGCTTGCTCCAAGCCCCTGTGTCCAACCTGGCCTTGAGCACTGCCAGGGATGGGGCAGCCACAGCTTCTCTGGGCACCCTGTGCCAGTGCCTCAGCACCCTCACAGGGAAGAGCTTCTGCCTAAGAGCTCAGCTCAGTCTCCCCTGGGCAGGTTCAAGCCATTCCCCTTGGCCTGTCCCTACAGGCCCTTGTCCCAAGCCCCTCTCCAGCTTTCCTGCAGCCCCTTTAGGCACTGGAGCTGCTCTAAGGTCTCCCCTTCAGGAGCCTTCTCTTCTCCAGGCTGCCCCAGCCCAGCTCTCTCAGCCTGGCTCCAGAGCAGAGCTGCTCCAGTCCTCGCAGCATCTCCATGGCCTCCTCTGGACTCACTCCAACAGCTTAAGGATGCAGCTTTAAGGAGAAAGGAAGACAAACTGTTCTCAGATGCTCTGCTCCAGCCGGGAAGCAGTCAGTCCAATGAAAACTCCCCATGTCCCCGGGGTACGAGGGCTCAACTCAGAAGTGAAAAGTGGGAGGTAAAAGGAGGTTTTATTTTTGAACAGCAGTTCTTGTTGATATATTCGTTTCTATACAAATAAAGAGGGACATAGAGTCGCTGTAGGACATCGCAGCTGAAATCAGATCAACACAAGTTCTGGAGCTCAGGTTCCACTTCTTGAAATAAACCATTTACTGAAGCAATTCACAGAAGAAATCTGAAGTGACAGAAATTCCATCAGCTGCAGTTGGCAGACAGCTTTTCAAGAACAGATGCATGACTGTTAATGATAACCCAAAAAGCTTCGTTTCTAATGCAGAAAAACTGAGCATTAACATTATAAAACTCTGCAGAGAACCAGAAGCAGAACATACACCACAAAATATTCTGCAAGGACTTATAAAAACCCAACTTTAGCAGAATTAACACATCTAGCCAAAAAACATCCCCAGTAAAAATACCTCCCAAGTTTGGAAATGTATTTCCATCTGTTAAACTTCCCTATTGCAAATAGTGTTTACCTTGAGCCGCAGACACAAACCTTTGATTTCGTGAGATTAATGTAACAAGTGGGTTAGGCTGTTAATGCATTCAAAGCTTTCAGACACGCAGGAGACTAGGATGGCATCGAGAGCATACAGATGCATTTGGAGGGGGTATTTTTTATGTGGAATAAGCTAGAAATTCCTTAATAGGTGTCTGCAGCAGGAACTACACTAAAAGAAAAGCATATTATGGTGTCTTAGGCTAGAAGAGACGGCTTCCAAGCCCATTTACGGTTTCTAAGCACTACTATATAATATCAATAACACCAAGGAAAACCCCTGACACCCCATCAAATAAGTGGCAACCCAAGCATTCCATGAAAGCAGCATTCATATAGTGAGATGCAGCCACTACAACACAATAATAAATAAAATATGTACATTTTATGCAGACAACAGTATAGAAATATGCTGTATTTATCAGCAAAAGAGCTCAGTCCAGCTGATGCACCAAACTGCAGCTCCAGAAATGGGGTTTTAGTGCCTCAGATCAAGAGAAACATGAAAAATGGGTCTATATTGAGCTGTTCTATCAATAGCACTATTGAGTTACCCTATGTTTTTAGTAGTCACCCAAAGGAGCTGCATGGTTTCAGAAATAAGGCACTGCAGAAGCTGGCCCATGCTCAGTTTCCTTTAATGCCTTCCACCCTCAAGAACGGTGTTAACAAAACAGAGCAGCTGCTGCAAAAAGCCATATCAATCATTGTCTTCTACAAAGATCACTCCACTCCCACATCTAAAAACAGCAACATGCAAGAAAGTGCCACAAAATACCACGTCTTCCATCAGAGCTTCAGGAATGAGACTCAGCTTCTGGCAGGAGCAGTTTCAGACACTGCAACCCTTCCATCCTGGGTTGTCATAGGATTATAGAATCCTAGAATGGTTTGGGCTGGAAGGGACCTTAAAGCTCATCCAGTTCCAGTCCCCTGCCAAGGGCAGGGACACCTTCCACTAGAGCAGCTTGCTCCAAGACCCGTCCAACCTGGCCTTGAACACTGCCAGGGATGAGGCAGCCACAGCTGGGGGGCTGTAACTGTGTGATGTTCAAGGTCCCTTCCAACCCAAACTATGCTGTGATTCTGCAAAAGGCATGCTAGGAAACCATCCATCCCAGGTGTGTAAGAGACCACTGACCGCTTCATTTATCATTTTCTTTCGTGTTTAAATCCTGCAAAAAAGCCTGCAGCATCCAAAACATTTATAATCAGGGTAAGTGACTTCAGAAGTTCAGACTGATCTATAAATTCAGAAAATGCCACAGTTCCTCAGTAAGTGAAAAAATGAATTATAAGCTGATAACATACCTCAGTTTCTTTACTGCATGGCACAGTGGTATAAATTAGACTTTGGTAATAGTAACAAATTGAAATAAAACCTTACAATGACATGCTTTTTCTTCCTTTACCTGTGAAAAGTTGACTTTGAAGTTATTCATACTTCATACTGAGCATTAACATTATAAAACTCTGCAGAGAGTATGGGGCTAAACTACACCAGCAAAACTGATCTGGAACAACCAAAAATGTATCCTCCAAACACAAACATTTAGATACAATATATGCACTATTTTATTAATAGAAGCTTCTGTCCAGGTTGAGAAACTATTTAAATGAGTGCAGGTGGTGCTTTCATTGCAAACATTTATGCCATGCACAGCAGGCTCAGGGGATGCTGGAGTGCACTAAATGCATCTCAGGCTTTGGTTAACGTCCATGTGCGTCGGACCCTTGGGGCATGGACAGCGCTCACTTTTGTGGAGTAACTCCCAACAGCAGGTGTCAGAGTGCTTTTCAAAGGTGCTTTTCAATTTGCAGCTGACAAGATGACAGAGTACTGACATGCGTTACCTATGCTCCCATATGGCATAATATGGGAGAAGTCCAAGAAAAAAAATCAGGATCTCCTAACTCACCATCCAGAATCCCATTACATGGGGATTGAGGGACCTTGAACAAAATACGGATATGTATTGTACAAGACAGAAAGTCATTGGCAATCCAATTTCTACATAAACCATCTAAGACAGCACTCAGCCTGAATTCCCCCAGTAACCATATGAAATGGGGTGAATTGCAGTCTTTCCAGAAGCTTGAAAGACAGAGAAGGCATTTTTCCAGCCTTCCCAAGCTGCAATCCAGTGCCCCATCCCAGAGCCACACGGGGACACTGCTGCAGAGCAATGTCAGGGAGCACTTTTCAGTGCTGGCAGGTGGCATTTTCGGGAGTGATGGTGCAAGACCTGCAGCTAGGAAGTGAAACCCTCAGTCTCATAAACAACTCAGTTAAGAGCTGGAGCTCATTAATAGAATTGTTTTCATACTAGCTGCTAAAGCACTAATTCACTGCATTTTGAAGTCAACACCATAGTCAGGGAGGGCTTTGCTCACCTTTAGATTTGCTCAAGCACAGAAGGAAAGGTGGGGAATAAATGCCCATGTCATTTTTCAGGTGAAAAATGAAGGCAGGCAGTCTTTCGAAACAGCTGCTCCTGAGGACTCCAAAGGAAAATAATCTGGAAAGCAGTCCTCACATCACTCACTCGGAGCAATGGATTTACCTCCAACCTGCACGAGATGTGCAGAGTGGGTACGACTCCGTCCCAAACTGACATCTGAGGTAGAATACACATTTAAATTCCAGAAGCAAACAGTACTATCACTGGGAGAAGGGAAAAAAAATCCCAAACACTAATAATTACCCCTTGGGAAATCACTCCATTTTCAGGCTTTCTGCTTCAAGTCCAGAAAATTAAATTTCCCCTCTCTAATGGTGTTGCCTTAGAGTACAGATCAGAAAATATAAACAAGCATTAGCCTTATGTGAGCGTGAAGCAGGAAGGATACCTGCACATGTCGGTTTAGCATCTCTAATAATGGGAGGAATAAACCGCTGCTGAACACCATGCCCCAGATCACCAGCCCTTTGCTCCATCTCACTGGTGAGCAATCAGGCATCTCGCCCTGCTCATGCTCACTCAGCTCAGGTAAAACACCTTTGCATTAAGTATTACATGTTCCTTTTCCACTTTACAGTTATATCCCCATCCATCTAGCTTTATTTACACCTTTCTTTGAAGCCTTTAAACCCTGAGGGTGAATTGCATCTTTCTGTAAGTGGATGCTGTGCTCTGATTTTAGAAGTGGTTCTTCCCCTGCCTGCACGTACTTCCAAATTGCTTTCAGTCCCGCAGGACTTGAAGACTCATCCCCCTGCTTTTAACTTGGCTGAAGATGAATATACATTTAAGGCACTGGTTAAAGTGTCTTTAATGATAGTAGAGTTCATAGTAATAAAACTGTCCATTCCATCAAATTTACTTTCACCCTGAAAACTTAGTGAGCCTATTCATTATTTTCTTAAAGACTGAGTTTCAAAATGTCACTGCTGACATTTAAGGCTCATAAAAAATGCAAGTCTGCCTTACCTGTGAGAAACGGGCCTATACAATCTCTTTTAAGATGAAAATATTTCTCGAGCAAGACAGTAGCCAATTATGAATACAAACAGTAACAAAGCCACTTAGAGCAAGTCGCTCTTTCTTTTTAATCTTTTATATACCCAGGACATGTTTCTCCCCAGCACAAAATAAGTGACATCTGGTGGCTACACGCTGTAATGTAATAAGACAGCTCATTTCAATGCTGTTAACCGACTCGGGTTTTTAAGTTTACTGCTTCTTAGCAAAGCTTTTTAGATGTTTTATTTATTCATTTTGACACAGAGACTTCTGGGGCTCCCAGGCATCACAGTCCCCATACACGGTGACAACTGCTGTTATCTAATTAAAGTGGAATTGTCATATTCGCACCGGGAAAAACACGATTCCAAAAAGGAATTAGCAAGGCATAGCGAAACAGCACAAAGATTTAGCTGGGCAACACCAGCGAGAGCCACGCAGAGGCAGGCTGTGAGGAAAGGCTGCACTGAATTCTGCAAAGGAAATCCTTCAAGGGCCCAAAGTCATTAATATCAACTGAGGTTGCTCCGAGTTGTTTTTCATTCGATTTTAATTAAACCAAGGAGAAACAGCTCCAATTTTCATTCTGAGCTTCAAAGCATCCCAGTGACTGAAACTGTCACAGATGTGAAGCAGCCTTTCCACTTCTCATACCTTATCGATCCTCAGCCATGGTCACATCTAATCCAGCCAAGCCTTCTGCTCCTAAACCTGTGTTCCAGACATAAAGCAATTACAGTTCCCTTTCTAACTCGTACAGCCCAGGAATGAAGTTCTCTTTTTGAATGCTCTAAGGCTCTCTTGGATAATTAATAAATACACTGTCAGTCAGCCACAGTTAAAACAACAGAATTGCTGGCACTGCAATTTCAAGACTTGTAATACCCATTTCTGCAGTAATAAGTATTTATGGGGAAAAAAAATCTAACAGAAATGAGATGAAATCTAAACAGACTCTAAATATTTATCAGCAGAGGAAGTTCAAAAATATCCCTGCAAAAATAAGGCGGATGGCAGGCTAAATCCAGAGCCATTGAGTGTTCTTCGAAGGATGTGCTAGGAGGAGCTTCATCTTCAGTCTGACATCGCTAAATCAAATTAATTCCTTCCTCCTATTCAACTGCTGCATAAAAATCCTTGATGCCAAAAGGACAAAGCTAAAAATGTCCCTAAAACCATGCCTGAAGGCTGCACTTGATGGAAATGACTGCCTAGACTCCTACCAACACAATGCAGTAGCAGTATACTTGAAATAAAGTTAGACTTTGGGGCTTTCCGTCACTTTTAAGGCCTATATATCTTCAACAGGAATGTCAACCTGCACGGTCAGCATCCCTTAGCACAGAGACGGGAACATGTCTGCAGTATCCTAATAAAAGGGAACCTCTGGGACAACATAACTACTGATAGATTATTCCAAAGAGAAATATTATATCCTTTCACATACCCTCATCCCCATCAGACACTATCTTCACCTTAAGACTGCTTGGCTGAACTAAAGAACATATGCAGAGAAAAGAGCATCTGAATGACTTTAACTCCAGTCAATCCCTAAGAATAAAACTCCTTGAGATCCCATTTGAATTTATTTTGTTTTTCAATCCTGGCACGCTGAAGTCAGCAGGAAGACATTTCATTGACTTTAATGAAGCCAGAGGTTCATCCTGCAAATTGCTGTTTGGAATGAAGACAGCATTTATATGACCTCATTTGAAACCCTCCATTTTTTCCTGAAGTGCAACTTAATGGTATTTGCTATTTCAGAATTATTTGTTATCTTTAAAAATATACAGAGAAGGATATTAAAACACTGCAGTGTAGATGTCTAGTGGTAAGGATGGGGATAATCTTGTTTCAGTAACAGGCAAGTATTTTTAATGCAGGAATATACATTGTCATAAAGTCATTTTTCTAATACCCAAAGGCCTTCGAATGTAAGAATTGTAACAGTCCAACAAAAATCACTGCTGATATTTACATACTTACCTGTATTTTCACAGTACATCTAATCCAATGTACTAGTACAGCAAGATTAAAAAATGGAAAACTGAATAGATTACTACCCCCGCTTGATGGGTATCATTAAAAGAAAAAGCTATCAAAACACAGCACAGGCTTTTTATGCATTCCCCTGTATTACACCATAATGATGTATGGCATCATTACAACTCTGATATCACACAACAAGAATATTGTTTAAAAAGCTGCATGCAGAAATAAGCAGCAGGTCGTTTGAAGCCGTCTCAGAAGGATCTTTTACCCAAAGAGTTTCTGGAATCTAGGTCTTTTTAAAGGTTTCTTTTCTAACTAGTGGGGACTTGAGCTAAAAGCTACTCACTGTCAAGTACGAGGGTTACAGCAGACCAGCGCTTAGGTTCACCAGTGTTATCATTATAGCCACACAAGCAGAAGACTCTGGAATTCTCCAAACCAACTGGAAAACATTTTCAGTGCCCAACAGTTTGGAGAAGCCACATTCTGGTCCCTCTTACATGAGTGAAAACCAAGAGCGGAATGACTCTTGATCTACTCTAATGCAAGAGAAATCCACATGGGATTTCCATGGCTACCAACAGATATTCCATTTTACTATTTTTAACTTTGCTGATCTCCTCAGCAATGTTCAAAAATCTTCTCTGAACACTTAAAACACTTCAGGGTTCAAAATAGCCTGATGTTAGAGAAATTCATTTTCTCTTTCCTATGAAGGATAAGCTTAAGTTCCACTGTTCCCTTCTATTCACCTCTCACATTTCTTGATGAAACTGTTGTAAATCTGGTATAAATAGCTCTGTAAAGTAATTCTAATACTAAATGTCAAGAGCGATAGTGGTTTCATTCGGATTTATCCCTAGCTGTTCCTCAGGCAAGTTGATCCTAAACCTGAGATACTGTTTTCATAGCTCTATAATTTATGACATTTTTCATGCAAATTATTCACTTCATGAATGGTTCTGATGAGTTACTCAAGGCATAAAGCTGCACTGCTCGGTGCTGAAGTGCTCAAGAACACATTTTTGTCTTCTTAAATGAAGAGACCACCACTATACCTCATGTTGTAATTCCTATTGGTAGCTTTTAATGCACAGCAAAGTTTTTATCTGACTTCTGCACTTGAAATAAATGCAGTTACAACCCAAGCATCACAGCGTTATCCCAGGCTAGAGCTCCAGGGAGCCAGGAAACAAGCAAAAACTCTCTAATCCTGAACCCATATTCCTTCAGGGAGCTCTGCATGGACTCAAAACCGGATGGACACATGCAACCTGTTCCTCTTCCACTTCAACACAGCAGCATCCAAAATCCCTTCCAGAAATGGGCTCAGGAAATTTCCTCAGGCTTTATCAACCAAGGCAGAAGTTGGAACTAGATGGTCTTTTAAGGTCCTTTCCAACTCAAACCATTCTATGATTTTGTGAACTGTAAAGCAGCAGCCCTATAAATGCACTAAGTGGTGGATGAAGACAGAAGAGGAGTGTGACCACTGGCCTAACATGGTGAAATGGATTTAGGGAAAGCTAAGCTTTCAAAGTATTCCTTGAAAATCCTGGACATTTCAGGGTCATTATCCATTTAACTTGGTTAACATCAACAGGCCATGAAAACTGGGGCTGGTCATCCTGTTTTCCTCTGAAAGTCCTGTGAAGAAGGTCCAGGTTGGACGGGGCTTGGAGCAAGCTGCTCCAGTGGAAAGTGTCCCTGCCCATGGCAGGGGGTTGGAACTGGGTGAGTTTTACGATCCCTTCCACCACAAACCAGTCTGGGATTCTATAATTAACAATATTTACTTAGCATTGTCTCTATAATATCTACATAGGTCAGTCAGAAGACAAGTTTCTCCACTTATAAGTAGCCAAAACTGATGAGGCTGGAAAGGAATACTGGATAAGGCATTTGATGGACAGGAAAAAACAGGGTTGGTTTTAAGAACCTGTTAAAGAATTTTCAGGAGATAAACCTCCCCTGCAAAGAGCTGGGCCTGCAGGCAATCCCATCTCATTATTTGAGATACACACCTAACAATCTACTAAACCATCCTCCTTTATTTCCTCCCATTTCTAGCTTTAGACAGTCAAACCTCCTGGCTGCACCAGTCAAACTGAGTCCTTCTTTGGTTTAATAAATTCTGGCACTCATAAGCCATAACATCCTATCTCAGGCACAGCGGGGTTAACACTGAGCTCTTACATTTTCTTCAAATCATGTGTAAAACCTTCCAGAATCCTGATTTCTATGTTGTTTTTTTTTTCCTGAGATCTCTGCTATTTATTGGTATTTCAATACTAATTTGGTGCCAGATCTTGAGCACTTTAAGGCGCTTTTTTCCCCTTACTGCTCCAAGACCTAACTCTAACTCAGCATATAGAACATATAAGGACATTATCATCTTCAATCAGCTGAAACCATCCAATATTGCAAACTCACATCTAACGTGCTGCCCACTTTCATAGCACTCTTTCAACACTACCACCAACCAGGCTTCTTCCATCCCCTAAGGACAAGTATTGCAGTTAAATCTGTATTATGTTTCCTATTGATGTTTCAGAAGTTCACACTCTTTTCCAAATCAGTCTTCTTTCCTCTGTACATCTTAAAACCTGACATTTATCTTCATTCTTTTTGTTTGATCACAGAATGACAGAATGGTTTGGGTTGGAAGGGACTTTAAAGCTCATCCAGTTCCAACCCCTGCCATGGGCAGGGACATCTTCCACTAGAGCAGCTCGCTCCAAGCCCCGTCCCACCTGGTCCTTCTTCACAGGACTTTCAGGGGAAAGCCATTACATGGAAGGCAGGTTCCTTAGCAGCCAGGTGCCTTTCACCATCCCTAATGCTGCAGGGGCTTTAGCTGCTTTCTGCAAACCCAAAGAGGAAGACAGTGCATCATGAGCTTCACAAGTGTTTCTGGAGCTGGCTTAGCCTAAATCTACCACCTCATTTCTGGCAAGTTCATCAGGCAAGCAGCAGTCTTGCCACTTCAGAGGTCTGGAAAACAAGTGTTTCAGCCAGCTCAAACTACTGTGGGAATGTGAAGAAGGTGGATGTGGGAATGAGAAGAGGCACAGCAATGGGTTGGGGCTGGCAAGTCTATGACTTCTGGTGTTTTGCCACAAGGGGACAAAAGTAGAGCACTGGGACAGAGCCTGCCATGGACCTCTCACTCCTATTCACCTTCACCATCACATACGATCTCTCACCACCACTGCAGCTCAGTGATGTCATTGCCATCAGGCACTAATACCCACCTGGACATCATGTTTCCTTCTGCTTCTTCTTGCAAGCTATCATGCTCATCTCTTCTTAGACAGGACACCACACTCCTTAAAACTAGTGCTTACAAACCGCATTCAACAGCTCCTGGAAACCAAGTGTAAATAAATTAATAAATAAATTAATAAATATTCCATGGAAAAGCCACATTAACTGCTTGCCCTCAAAGTGCTGTTTAGTGGCATGTCAGGCACAGCTGTGTAATCAAAGGATTACAGTGCTCCCATTGCAACGCGCCTGCAGCACTCTACCTCTTTGGTAGCTTTCCTGTCTCCCTCACATGTAAAAACCCAGTTGAGTAACCAGGATGGAATTGTAACCATGTCTTTCAACCCGGGAAACACAACTGAACAAGGACAAACAGCCAGTGTGACTGTACAACCCAGTTTCTGTTAGATACATGGGCAGCCCTATGTATTTTTAAGGCAATGGGTCAACAATGCTGTGTGTAATCAGTTAATTTTAGTGAAACTGCGGTATAAGTGGAGAGATTGGTGTAATTCAGGCTGCTTTGAGATAAAGACTTGTAGGAGCTTACAGATCCCTTTCCCTCCCGTGAATAGCTGTATTTAGACTCCAAATCTGGCACTGTACTCCATCACTAAGAAAAACAGTGTGCTTCACTATAAAACATAAATAAATAAGAAATACTAATTGGTGGGGAAATGGTAAAAAAAAAAATAGCTCTCTTATTGGAAATCTACCTTGGTTTTCCATAGCACTTTGGATACGTCCAGCTTAGCAACACAACTCCAGCCAAGGAGAATGGTGGGAACTCACGAGTTATATCCCTCACTGTGCAAGGTACAGGGGAAAATAGGTGGGTTAAGGGAGGAATTGAAGCCTGAAAGCAGCAATTAAGAAACCCAGTTCAAACCAGGGTACATCTCCTGCAAACTCTATAAGCTGTTGGAAACTGGGTGATTCACACCACTCAAGTATCCAGAGTATCACTGAGTGATTTAATAGCACATTTCCTTAGAGTTTCTGATTGTGGGATATAGATCCTTGGAAGACACAGTAACTGTAAGAGTAATTAAGAAAGAGAGGGAGCATATTGGCACCTGTTTAAGTCATGGCTTTCTTCACCTGAGTGATGTGTCTGTACCGAAAGAGAAACACAGTTGGATGTTGTAACTTCCTAAATCAATATGTCATTTAGGGAAGATCAGCCCTTGCCACTAGCTTATCTCTAGAGAACACATATCAGAATGTAATAGTAACACAGTGCTGAGTTACAGCTTCGTAAGAATTTGCTCCCATGAGCACATGAGGAAGCACTCAGTGCAGGAGAAGTTTAATAATGATTCCCTTCCTAATTGGCAGAGGAATTTGATAAGAAATCGTTACTGGGGGTAGAGGGATTGTAGCATCATGGCTAGTGATACCACATGAACTTTGGAAGAGTTTGCTGCCATCCACCTCACAACTTGATCTTAAATACAAACCAATACTTTGAGAGGTGCCTTAGTACTGGGACACAGCCTATAGAAACATGCACAATAATACTGACATCACACCACCTTTGCCCACTGAAAGTCCTGGTTCTCACAGAGCTTGTGCTGCAGGTTGCTTAAAATACTGTTAAAATATAAGCAGTATCTTATTTGCATCTCTATGATTATGCCTATGTAATTCCGTCCTTGCTAATGCTGCTAATGGATTACATAACTTCATCCTTCCACTTCAACCTCATGGAATAATTCAAACACAAGAGTCTGCTTCAGTCTTCTCATTCATGCAGTTTCCAGATACCTACTTTCAGTTTAGCAACGGTAAAATCCATGACTGTCTTCCATTGCATATGGGGAATAAAGCATTTTGTCATGGAAATCTTCATTGTTTCACTATATTCCTGTTACAATCCACCAAATAAAACACTCTGAATTTGAGATTAGTCCTCCTATTACAAAATCTGAACCTTAAAACTGTTTTCTCATTGATTTCAGAGCTGCATGGTGACTGCACTTACAGACACAGGATCTAAGTAACGTCTAGAAAAAAACCACCAAGGTAGTTTCACTACTAAATCTTCATACAAGTAGTTTCACCTTTTCTGCATTCGAATTGATTTTCTTTCTTTTGGCATGTGAAGAGACAGATGAATCCTTTGACTCAATGCCCAGGAGGAGTGCAGCAGCAGCAGCAGGGAAGCTCTCAGGGCAAGAGACGTGTGACAACACTTTAATCACCAACAAAACCAAGCTTCAAGACAACCATTCCATTAGTATTTACTGTTTTCTGAGTGCATATATATATATGTGGGTCTGTATATAAAATACATATACCAATGTATATAAATAGCATAGATATAAATACATCTGTATAACAATATGTATGTTGTGACCTTTTATTGATGGAAATTTCCCCTTTTGCCAGAGATCAAGTAGTCCCCAGTTACTACCAAGTGCTGTGCTCTTCAATTAGGCTTCTGTTTACACACACGAGTGCATCTGATTTTGAGTTAAGCCTTAAAAACATTTACTGTTCATGAACAGTGCCAGCAAACTTTGAGTTTTAATCTGTAATCACTTCAGCTGACTACTCTGGGGTTTTCTAGTGGCAAAATACACAAGATACATGCTTGTTCTATGGAGATGGTACTGATGTTTTTTGCCTGGCTAACAAAGAGTTCAAGAAGTGAAACCGTTCTTACGTTACAGACAAGAAAATCAATAAGCAGAGAACTTTAGGTCACAGAACCATATCATAGAAATAAATACATTTCCATATCGGAAAGTTTGGTAGGTGTTTAGATGCACCAGCCTAGACATACTATCCCCTCGCCTATTCACCTAGAAATCTAGCTGAGTCTGGGAAAGTCAATTCACTGCAGAGCACAGCTGTAGTATTACAATGAAACAGCACAGAAAACAGACAAACCCCAAACCTATCTATGACACCACCAAAGTTCAGCTGGTGAATTGTTGCTTAACAGACTCTCACCGTAATAACCCATCGCTGAACCTTGACTGCATTCTCAGCAAAAGCATGCTATAAAGCTATTTTCAACAGCCAACAGATTGCATGTAAGAAATATCCCTCTTCACCTAAAAATATTCATCAGTGAATGGCAACATCATCCCCGGCTTCATTCTAGGTAGGATGCGCTGCCGGAATTCAACGAGTCTTCCAGCGAACGCCGCTTTACAAGTGTCTTCTCGCCCAAACCGCCGTATAACCACGGCGATGAGCCGAGGAGCAGCTCTCCGGCGGGCAGCAGGGTCTGCCCAGCGCAGGAGATGACAGCAAGCAGCGTTACCTTTGTCATCATTCCTCCCTCCCCGGAGCACTAACCTGCTGGGGGGGGGGCACGAACTGGGAGAAGTGCCCCCCCCCCCTCCGCTCACCCTGCCCGGGGGATGCTGCACCCCAAGCCCTGGGAGGAAGAGGAGGAGAGGGGGGAAGAGGAGGGCTGCCGGTTCCCCTTTGCTAGGGAAGCACACCCCAGGCTTCACCCCAGAGTAACTAACGCAGGAGCATCCAGGGGTAGCTCCGCGCCTCCATAGCGGTTGTGTGGGAGCCCCACAACCCCGGGTCCGGCCCCCCCGAGCTCCGCTCCGCTGGACCGAGCCGAGCCGAGCCGAGCCGAGCCGCGCTGCCCGGCTGCCTGCCCAACTTCCCGCAAAGTCCCGCCGCTTCCAAACTTGGGGACCCCCAACATCCCCGTCCCTCCTCGCTCCTACCTCCGCCGGCTCCGCCGCTCTCCCATCCGCGCCCGCCGCCTCCGCCGGCTCTGCCCTGCGGGGGGGGTGGAGGAGGAGGAAGAAGGGGGAGGGAGGGAGCAGCCCCGCGCCGCTCGCCGGCCGCGCTGCGCAGCCCGGGAGGCGGAGTGCTGCCGCTCGGCTCGGCCCCCCGGTTCCGCAGGGGCGGGGGGTCCCCAGCGGTGCCCCCTGGGGAGGATGGGGCGGGTAGAGCCGCCCTGGTGCCTGCGGCTCTGCGGGGCAGGGTCGGCATCGGGGTCCCGCCGGGCATCGCCCCCCGCCAAGAGCCGCTGGCTCCCGGTAGCGCCGACAGCCGCTGGGCTCGCCGGAAAGCTTTGGGAAGGAGAAGGGCCTCTCCCGAGCGATCCTGCAGGAATTCGAGCTGTCCCGGACAAGCGGCGCGTAGGTGGAAGCAGCGTCCCAAACTGTGGCCGGGGCAGTCAGAGGTCAGCCCGAGGAGACACGTTGCTGCCGGCGCTTGAGCCGGGCTTTGACGCCCGGTACCTTACAGACCGCACGCAGCATGTGCTGCCATGGTCCAGTTTGAAATGGGAACAGCACAAACACCGGCTAAAACGCCAAAATCTTCTACTCAGCAAGTGCAAGGTTTATTCTCGGCTAAGAGGGTCCTACCTGGAGTATTGTGCTCAGCTCCGAGGCAACAACACAGTGGAACTGCTCCAAAGAGTGTGGAGGAGGTCACGGAGATGCCTTGAGGGCTGGAGCAGCTCTGTTCTGGAGCCAGCCTGAGAGAGCTGGGCTGGGGCAGCCTGGAGAAGAGAAGGCTCTTGAAGGGGAGACCTGAGAGCAGCTCCAGTGCCTAAAGGGGCTGCAGGAAAGCTGGAGAGGGGCTTGGGACAAGGGCCTGTAGGGACAGGCCAAGGGGAATGGCTTGAACCTGCCTGAGGGGAGACTGAGCTGAGCTCTTAGGCAGAAGCTCTTCCCTGTGAGGGTGCTGAGGCGCTGGCACAGGGTGCCCAGAGAAGCTGTGGCTGCCCCATCCCTGGCAGTGTTCAAGGCCAGGTTGGACACAGGGGCTTGGAGCAAGCGGCTCTAGTGGAAGGGGTCCTTGCCCCTGACAGGGGCTTGGAACTGGATGAGCTTTAAGGTCTCTTTGAACAGAAATTAGTCTGGGATTCTATGATTCTACCTTGTATCCATAAATATACATGTATATGTAAATGTATAGTTTGCTTATGAAATCATCCAGGTGATACATGCACAGACCTTCTGTGATGTAAAACACAGTTTCCCATGAACGTTTAACTCAGCCCTTACAGTGTCAGAAGTCGTGTGGCTGTGACTGCATCTGGCCAAGGCTTGTGTGAGTGCACTGGAGAAGGAAACCTCTTCATATTTCCCCCCTTACACTAAATGCACGCAGTGTTTGGCTTAGATCCACATGTTTAATATTCAGCAACACTATTTCTAAGAAGTTGAGGTGATGAAGCATTAGCTAAATAGAACAATGTATACTTATTTTAGTATTTCTTTTCATGATTACGTCCATCTCTGGTTATGACTTTCAGAAGCACCTAAAACTTACACAAAGTTGTGGGAATCTGGTTTGAAGTGAAACCGTATGTAACACAACAGTAAAATGCAAACCAGAAGCTTCCACGTTCCACAGCTACAGTTAGGACCAAACAGATAAAGGATTTCATATGAGTGATTATACACCCCTAAGACCGTACATAAGGTACTGACTTTAAAATCCCACAGGCTTCCTACAGTACAGTGTGTGTATATCTGATTCTCACCTAGCTCTTAGCTAAAAAAACCTCACAGAATAAGGCATCTGATGAGGTGAAACCTGGGAATTATGAAATATTCATGCCCAATCAGTGTTTCTGGTCTGGGTTAAATATGCTGCCCTCACAGGCCTTTTTAAGCCTCCTGGGATGCTCTGGGTAGCAATTAGACTTAGCCAGATTTCTGCATAATTATACCCCCTTCCTTTTTATGTATGTGAAAAAAACAAGAGATAAGCTGTCATGAAAAGAAGATCTTCATTCCCTGGGGAAGTCTCTGTTCACACTGCTCCTCACCAAGCATCAGCTGGAGTAAATATCTTGATGGTGGTATCTACACATGGCAGCTCAAACTTCCAGGCACTCCATAAAGGTTGTGTCTATCCATTTCACAGGCACTTGCAAACTATCTTCAACACTACCTGGTGAGATGGGATGGAAAATACAACGTTTTATGGCACAATAAATCACTGCCCAGGAATTCATTGTATTACCGTGACCAACGATACTCAGGAGAATAGTCTAAAATGTTTGAAAACTAAAGCTGGATTTTAATTCTCCTCATTCCAGATGTTCAAAAAGGGAAAAGATTTCAATATGGAAACTCAAGTAAACTTTCTCTGACTAGATTGGTTCTCTTAAAATGAAAGCCTCTGACCTCCACCTCTATATGTGATTTCTGCTGGTTGCCATGCTTACTGTGCAGTGTATAAAGGATCATCCCACTTCCAAAACAAGTTTGTATGTATCTCTTAGCTCTGAGAAGGCTTATCTGGTAGCAAAAAGATGGGAGACCCTTTAGTAGTGTTGGAAAGCAGACATAAAATGGGAAGTGTAAGTGTGTGGATTTTAAATATGATTTTTTTTAATGCAGGGGTGTCCTTCCTTGTTGCTCCTGACCACGGTTTGGGGTAGGAGTGGGGTATAGAGGTTTGTGGCTGGGTTTGAGAGCAGCGGAGCTGTGCGTTCATAGCCAGATTGAGCTCTGGGGTAAACAAATCAGATCATATCCTCAAAGCACTGCTGTAATGGGATGCTAATCCGGGGAAAAGAGCTGCTCTTCCTCCGCTGCCTATTACAGCATCAGCATCTTTAGGTTATTCTCACACAGAGGAGTTAGGAATGCAGATGTTTCTGCTTTGTGCTTCCTCCCTCCCAAACTCAAAAGGCAGAGGAAGAAGTTCATTGCCCGCAAGCACTCTGGAGCCTTTTGCTTCCCACTCCTGCTGCTTTTGGGGAGCCCTTTTCCCATGACCTCCCATCATCAGGCACCACTTTCCAAAGCTTTTCTCAGGGGATGTTGCTGCAGGGTACCAGCATAAACCCTTACACCAGACTGCAATCTCAGCAGAAGCAGCTGTGGGTTGCGACAGGAAAAGACAAAAACTTCTCCAAAACATCTCTGCCCCCTTCTGCCGTGAACTGTGAGGAGCAAACGGACATTCCCCAAGAGAGCTGCCGGAGCATCGGCTTCAGGATTCCCCCTTTGCCCAGAAAAGCAAAGGAATAGCAGGAGCTAGAAGCAAATAACTTATAGGGTGGGGACTTCTAAATCCAGCCAGGGAGTTTCCATGCAGTGAGCCTGAAAAACCACAAGGTGATATATATGTTGTACTTAACAGTTTCAGGACATAGGCTGCTGTGCTGCTGAGCCACTCTGCTGAGCAGAGGCACAGCAAAGCCCACTTTCATACAGACATTCCATCCTGTGGAACGCATGGTTGCTTTCTAACACAGGCTGAGGTGAGGATGCGCAATCACAGCACCCCAGCACCCGTGGTGACTATTTCAGCTCTTCTTCCAACTCTAAGGCTGGGCTCCGAGCTGCGAGTTGGTGCTCGGAGAAAATTGCAGAAGGATTTGTTTTTCTAGCTGTAAAATTAAAAATAATTATTAAATAATTGTTTAATTATAATGAAAAAATAAAACATACCCATTAAAATATAGGTATGGTTCTCACTGGAATTAATGGAATATGTCTGTTTTAAAGAAATGCGTTATTTTATTTTCCCCGTGGTATCCTGGCAACAGACAACACATCCCTAAAATACAGATCACTAATATCATACCTTATACATCCCTCAGCTCTTGGTAAAGGGTATATCAACAACCTAATTTATGAGCTTGTTTGTTATTTTCCCAGCTTAGATGGGAATTACCCTTCTTGGCATGCATACCTTGGGAGTGCATCTGGGAGCTCCAGCTCAGCCTTTAATTGAGAACAATGCCTTTTTTTCCCTAGAATAGGCAAAAATTAATACTGAAACACAATGAGATAAATGTGTCAGAATTTGATTCCCCACAAATCATAGAATCATAGAATAGTTAGGGTTGGAAAGGAACCTTAAGGTCATCCAGTTCCAACCCCCCTGCCATGGGGAGGGACACCTCACACTAAACCATGGCACCCAAGGCTCTGTCCAACCTGGCCTTGAACACTGCCAGGGATGGAGCATTCACAGCTTCCTTGGGCAACCCATTCCAGTGCCTCACCACCCTCTGAGACAAGGGGTGAACTTCCTCCTTATATCCAATCTAAACTTCCCCTGTTTCAGTTTTAACCCATTACCCCTTGTCCTGTCACTACAGTCCCTAATGAAGAATCCCTCCCCAGCATCCCTATAGGCCCCCTTCAGATACTGGAAGGCTGCTGTTATATTTTAATGATGCATGTGGACAGCCCGTTTCCTTTTCCCTAACGCCATCCTTTCACCCCCTACACCATGCTTTTATCCCAAGTTGTATGTCCTTCAGCGCGCTAAATTATTCCTTTTTTATGTGTGATATTTATGCCCTCCAAGTACTTGTCGAAGGGTATCATCTCCCTCTTAGTCATCATTTAGCCAAGCAATATATATTAAGTTCCTTTAATCTTCACTCATAACTCAGCCTCTTCAGACCCTTAATCATTTTTATTGCTCTTCTATGAATTTCTCCCAATTTCTCTGCATCTCTTTGGCAATGAGGTACCCAGAATTTAATGCCTTATTTTAGGTGTGATCTCCCTGCAGCAACACAAAAGATGTTACCTCCTGCTACTTTTATCTACCACTGATTCAATAACACGCTGGAATCACGAAGTAGCCGGGAATCAATTAAAATAGATTTTAAATGGTTCAATGCTCAGAATTACCATAATGCTTTTGTGGCACCGCACGCAATGAGAAGGCTTCGAGCTGTTTGAAGCCTGCTGCTTTTGGAAATGCCTGTGTGTGACTTCTAGGGCAGGCAAAGCTTTTAAGCCAGCTGCATGCACAGCTCTGTGATTCTCTAAAGGAGTACGAACAAGGAGTTATAATTTAGAAGACAAATAAAGATGGGGTTCAAATTGGCAGCAGAAATAGTTCCTGTGTGATGATTGCCTGGAGGTTTCACGCTGCTTCTCCTATCACTCTTGGATATGTGACACAAACCAAGGGCTCATCGCAACAAAACTAGGTGAGCCAGCAGCCAAGGAGCTTGATATTAGGTTGGTTCAGGCTCTTATTCAATGGTTCTGTTTGCTTTAATACAGAAAAACAGAAAGTCTTTAGAAACCAGTAACTTTGATTAAAGTTGGAGATGTCTTAGAAGCAGACAGATTATGGAAAGATCATAGAATCATAGAATCCTGGAATGGTTTGTGTTGGAAGGGCCCTTAAAGCTCACCCAGCTCTAACCCCTGCCACAGGCAGGGACCCCTTCCACTGGAGCAGCTTGCTCCAAGCCCCTGTGTCCAACCTGGCCTTGAACACTGCCAGGGATGGGGCAGCCGCAGCTTCTCTGGGCACCCTGTGCCAGCGCCTCAGCACCCTCACAGGGAAGAGCTTCTGCCTAAGAGCTCAGCTCAGTCTCCCCTCTGGCAGGTTCAAGCCATTCCCCTTGGCCTGTCCCTACAGGCCCTTGTCCCAAGCCCCTCTCCAGCTTTCCTGCAGCCCCTTTAGGCACTGGAGCTGCTCTAAGGTCTCCCCTTCAGGAGCCTTCTCTTCTCCAGGCTGACCCAGCCCAGCTCTCTCAGCCTGGCTCCAGAGCAGAGCTGCTCCAGCCCTCGCAGCATCTCCATGGCCTCCTCCCACGGGACCCCAGTCATCCCTCACGTCTGACCAGAAGTTGCTCTCTGTGCAGTACTAGGGCAGGGAGGGCCAAAATCTGTAGCCCAGTATGAGGTCCCATTCTGTTACGCTTTTCCATGCTCCATTTTAGCCGAAACAGTACATGGTTCAGGGAAAAACATCATCAGCAACTGTTTCCATAGGTGTGACATCACCTGTGAGGTCAATGCATGAGGTCAGCCTGCTTTTCAAAGAGGGCTTACTTGTGCAGAGGTGGTCTGTGCCATGCTTCCTCCCTCAGGACCAAAGGATGGGCCCTGACCTTGTACAGCTCAAGGAGATGCATTCCCAAGCATGCTTGTGCTAGCTTAGGCTTCAGTTGAGATAGACAAATAAAGTAATATACTTGCTAGATGTTATATGCGAAAGATCAAGATAGATCAACTCTCCTTACCTTCAAAGTTATGAAAACCATTGCTACAAAGATAAATCACATACCTTCTTGCTGACATAATGATGAATGTTCTCTCCAAGTGTTGCTCTCTCTGATAATTTCAGGAAAATGAATATTCCTGTTTGGTTTTGTTGCTAACTCGGGCCTCGTTACAAAGCCATTTCAATTTGCAATCATTCTTCCAGTACACCTGCAATGATAGAACTGATAAACACCTTCCTATATTATAATTCTTAATGACTACCCGCAGAATTTTGGCTTTAGGAAGAATACCAGAGATGGCAGGAAGCAGAGAGATAAAATTCAGCCTCCATCATACAAGCTGAAGAAATAGCATGGGAGGGATGAATTCATACATATATTATCTATTCTTAATGCACATCTTTCCTGCTCAGTTTCTACTCATATAGCTCGAACACTGCTATACTTGAAGCTGTGAGGGATCTCTCAGTTTCTCCCTGTGCTGGTTTCTTCCTCTCTCCTGATGCTTAAAAGTTGAAACAGAACAGCAGAGCTTCTGCACGTAGGTAATATCTTGCTGAATCAGGCAGTTTGGTGCAAAGCCAATTTCTGTGACTCCTGTGGTCTCGCATGAGAAATTGCTCTTGTTGAATGAGCGTTGACCATTTAATATACAGTGCTCATGACTCACCATGTATTTTCCAAGAGCACTTTGAGGTATTTTGATACTGTCTCTGCACTTTTACAACCTAAACATATTCCCTGGGTATTTATTCAGCTCTGCATTCTTTTGCTCAGACACATTTCCAGAGGTTTTATTCAGGAGTGATGAAGGAACCTAACCATTGCAGGCAGCTCACTTAATTCAGCACAGTCCTGTCCTTTCCAGTTCACCCACCTGCAAAATGGGAATAATAAGAACTTAGGGAGAGTATTCACATGTCTAGCTTCAGACCTCTAATGTTAGTCTCTCCAGAAAGAAGTAGCTTCTAGTTGAAATGCTTTGAATGGGCTTTCCAATGGAACCTGCTTCTCTCTGCTAGCAGTAAGGGAGACCAAGTTCTCAGCTCAAGCACCCCTACATCAGGCACTTCATGCCAAAAGCCAGCCACTGTGAGCATCCTTTTTCCTACCTCATCCTGAAACCATTTCCATGGTCAGCTCTCCACTGTGGAGTAGTATCTGATTAACTCAGCAGTTTTCCACATATGCAAAGTGGAGTGGGTTGCGGGATGAAGACTTTGCATAGCCCCAGCTATCAGCAATGGTGAATGAATCAGTATTTCAACAGCACTTTACATGTATTAAGCTCGGTGAAAGTGCTATTAATTATCAATATGGTCAGTCATTATCATTCATTAGTGGTTAGAGATAACCCAAGATCTTTGTGTTTCAGTCTCAGGATTGCAACTGTGTGATATCAAGCAAGTCACTATGCTTCTCCTGTCCTCATTTTTCCTGTCATTAGGATATCTGCCTCATTCTTAAGTGTGATGTGAACCTTAATTAGGCTTGAAAAGAGCTTTGAGAATTGCTGGTGAAAAGTGAAATATTAATGTCAACCGTTACTATAGAGCAGATGAGACAGAACAATAGTCTCATCCCTATTCAAAGAGGTCAGACTGGTGCCATGGAGCACTTCAATGCCTTATGAATTCTACCCAGAAGTAGCCAGTTCTCCTCAAAGTGAGAGCCAAGAAGTACCACCAGGGAGTTCAGATTTGGAAAACCCATCTCTACTGCCTTTCTTCTAGTTGTGCAGGCAAACTGCCCACTGGTATGCAAAAATGGATATTAAGGCATCTAAATATCTCTCCAGGCACAAAAATGCAATTTGTGAGTGCATTTCACATAGAAGGACTGGTAGAGAAGTCAATCTTTATTTCTGAAAATCTCCTCTTCAGTGCTTAGTCTTTCTGTTAATGATATGAATTAGATCCCTATTACAAATGAGCCTCATGTCTCAGAAACTAACGTGCTTTGCTCAAGAACCAAGACTTTCTGTGTTTCATCATCATTCTCATTGTTAATGATTCTGCTTTCCTGGCACTGATGAGAAACGTTTATTTCCCTGGAGTATTTCTGGATGGAAAAATTATCACGTTAGTTGTGGGCAATTGATGCTGCATTAACTTGCCAAGGCTATATTGCCGTATTTAATCACACTGTTTGGAAACCTGGCCACCTTCTTTCACACCTCAGGTTGCCATGATACCCTCTGGCCATTCTTAATTTATGCAATTCATTTTTAGGCTTAAGACAGTGGCTGCCAGCTTCTGACTGCTTGAAAGCATAATAGCAAGATAAAATGGGAAAATGACAGTGACATAAAACCTACACAGAGGTTCAAGCCTGCAGTTTAAGGACTGTTGTGAATCGGAGTCGTTGAGAGAGGGGCAGGTTAGCAATGCCAGTGTAGAGAGGTGAATGGGTAAGCTGGAATCTACATAGTCCTGTAAAATGCATCTGTATATGTCACTTTTATCCAATGCTAGTAACACTGTCACAATGTTGTGGGGAAAAGGCTGTGTTGACAGCGAGGTGAAGCTCTTGCACAGTTCCTCAAGCTCTTCTGGGGTCATTGACTGAGTTAGCACAAGTGCCCACAGTGATACAGCCACATTTTCTTATTTATATCTACCACCCTCCTTGCATCTCCCAGTCAGAATCTGAGAAACACATTATTCTAGGCGATCATCTACAATAATTTCTTCTTCATTTCAGACGTCTCATTGCTTCTGCTCTCCATTCTGTTATAAAATCCATCTACCTTCCCCAAACTGGAAAGCCATACTCAAAATCTGCACAATGCTCTTTGCACAGCGGCTTTAACCTGCCCGAGGGGAGACTGAGCTGAGCTCTTAGGCAGAAGCTCTTCCCTGTGAGGGTGCTGAGGCGCTGGCACAGGGTGCCCAGAGAAGCTGTGGCTGCCCCATCCCTGGCAGTGTTCAAGGCCAGGTTGGACACAGGGGCTTGGAGCAAGCTGCTCTAGTGGAAGGTGTCCCTGCCCGTGGTAGGGATTGGAACTGGATGAGCTTTAAGGTCCCTTCCAACACAAACCATTCCAGGATTCTATGCCCCAGTGAGTTATATATCCACACATACACACTTTTTGTTGTGATGTTATTGTGGTTTGGCTAATGTAACACCATCAGCTAATGCAGATTCTCTGTGAATTTGACCACACGCTTCCCTCCACCAAAAGAAAGTTACATTAATGTGCTGTCAGGCTTGAGCTCTGCCATCTGCTAAACCAGGAAACCCTGAAGTTAAATTCATTATCAGGACCAGTGCTTGGCTGTTCTCCAGTTGCCAGCTGTAGCTTTTTACTTTACTGTTTATTCTGTTAAATTTATGCCTTAGTGTGTAAAAATGTCCACAAAGGATAAAAGCAAATGAGCAATGTGACAGGGGTGAGCACAGTGAGGACAGTTAACTTTGAAATTATCAGATTTGGAAGCCTTAAAAATCTCAAGGCTTAACCTTACGTAAAGCCTTGGCTTTTAAATTTCAAACCTCTATTCTTAGCACTCCAAATCTTGCAATACTCTTACTCCCTCTGACTGCACTTTCAGCCCACTGGGATATTTCTTGTATTGGACTAACAAATTATCATAAGTTTGAGAGTTCTTTGTTGAGAATAGGTTATTCTCTCTGTTGTAGAACATAGGGCAACTGGTATCAATTGTTCTGATAGGAGTTTTTAAGTCAGGGCAGCTACTACATGGGGCAGTAAAATCAGGCAAAAAACTTTGGTGCTCGCTTTCACATGCTCCCACTCTCAAATTCAGCCTACATATGAACAAAGAAAAATGCTTGGGAAATACACAGGGATGCAAAAATCACTGTATTTGATAATTTAGTTGTAGGTGACTCTTCTTTTAAGTGCAGATATAGGAGGGATCAAACTTCTGTGTCATTGACTCATTTATTAAATGAGCTCTACAGTGCATTTGCTTCCATAAACTTCCCTTTTCTGGTAGCTGCAAGTTCGGGATTTTGTCCACTTGTCCAAGACTTCCAGTGATTCATAACAAGCAGCGAGACCCCTGAAAACATTTGATGCGTTTCCCATGGTCATGGAGATCAAATGCAGGGATCTTTCAGAGCCAGCGCAGTGTCTCTGAGCCAGGCCAGGCCAACTGCTCCTGCCTTGCACAGATGGGCTGGAGGCATGCAGGAGGTCTGACGTGCCTTCAGCTGTCTGAACTGACCGTGCACTTGCAGATTCCCTGTGGACAGGATGTCTGTGCCTTCCTGGAAGTTCTCAGCTCCCTGAGCACGGGACTGTCCTGGGACATGACCTCTGGTTCTGCTTCTTTTACCACCCAGGAACAGAACTATGTGCTAGCCCAGCCATCACTATCAAACCAGTGATGAAGCTGGTCTGGTGTATCCTGGCTGGAGCTAGCCTGCTGCAATCTCAACTGGTGTACAAGCCATAGGGAAAAATGATCTAAAAGGAAAGTTGTTTGAATGAGAAAAGGCAGATCTGCCTAGAAAGGCTGCTCTAGCACCGTTGTTATTTTTTCTTCTGAATCAAAAAAGAAATGTCAGTCTGACCCATATGTTGGAATCCATGCAGAACCCTCAAAGACCTATATACAGGCTGGAAGAAAAGTGCCCATATGGTGTCTTCATTCATTGCAGTGCTGGTAGGCAGCAGAAATACCTCAGGGATGAATTGGAGGTGAGAAGATATTTTTAATAAGAGAGACTGCAGTGATCTATAAGAGGAAATAATCATTGACCCTTTTTCACAAATATCTATATCTCTATCTCATATACTTTCCTTTCTAGTGCTGGCAGGGAAAAATAGAAAAGAAAGCTTTCTTGTACTATAAAGCACTGAGTAAATTTCCCAGTTACCAGTGTTCTACTCTATCAAGGTTACTGTTAACTTTATTAATATTCATTTTCATTTATACTACTGCAAAGTCATTAATGTGATAAGAATGCTATTATCTTTAGAACAATAAGTATTTATTAAAAGCATGTACAGTGAAAATTGGTAATATGATGAAGCATTATGAAGTAGAATGCAATGAATCCCCTAGGAAGACTAATAAAGATTTCTGGCTCTTCTTATTCCTCCCAACAACTTCACAGTATTAAAAAAAAAGAAGCAAGATAACAGCTGAAGTCGCTTATCAGGATTTGCAAGTGTTCTGAGTGTTCATCCCCAGTGAGAGCTGGAGGGATCCATTTCTAGACCATGATTATTGTCTG